ACAAATATGTTTATAAGAAAAAGGCAGAGGCATAGTTTCTATCATTTTTTCTGACCTCTCCACTTTCAGTTTTAATACAGTTTTCATAACAGAATCTAAATAAAAAATATTTTTCTTCAAGAGGATCAAACTATGCTATTGATTCCATAGGCATAATAAAGTTCACATTTTACTTCCTAGTAACATACAATAACTCTGAGAATTTATATCGAGAGCCACAATGCAGGACCTCGTAACTCATTTCCACTGAACATTATATTTTATGATAATCTCGTTTAAAACATTTCACTCCATCTACTTTATAGGGGAAGTATTACAATTTTTGAACAACATATGGGTAAATATTGGTCCTATTATAGAGTAAAATGGATTGTTCTATATGTAAAACATTTTTTTCAACTGGAAAATGTCGATTTTGCGGCTTAGGAGGTCATGTCTTGAGGCACTCGATATATGTCTCACCTGCTTCTTTTCTGGACGGACCCAGGCATTGATTCATCTTGTAAATATTAAAATATTTTGACTCTCAAAATCAGGAATAAGGTTAAGTTTCTCAAATCGCTGAAATAGAATTTTTCCTGAAAAAAAGATTATGAAATCGATAGAATTACATGTAAAGGTCATCAACTTACCGTTTATATGCTTTGAATGTGTTAATTAAATTATATCCACTTCAAAAACCAGGGTTTGAGTAGGCTGATTTAAAACTCTTCAAATCGAAGACAAATATTTTCCTGAAAAAAAATATGAAATCGACAGAGAACATATATTATAAACGTTATTACCTTACCGTCCATATGCTCTAATATGTTAAATAATTAAATTGCTCTCAGTTTCAATTTTTTTACATATAGAACAATCCATTTTACTCTATAATAGGACTAATATTTACTCATATGTTGTTCAAAAATTGTAATACTTCCCCTATACAGTAGATGGAGTGAAATGTTTTAAACGAGATTATCATAAAATATAATTTTCAGTGGAAATGAGTTACGAGGTCCTGCATTGTGGCTCTCGATATAAGTTCTCAGAGTTATTGTATGTTACTAGGAAGTAAAATGTGAACTTTATTATGCCTATGGAATCAATAGCATAGTTTGATCCTCTTGAAGAAAAATATTTTTTATTTAGATTCTGTTATGAAAACTGTATTAAAACTGAAAGTGGAGAGGTCAGAAAAAATGATAAAAACTATGCCTCTGCATTTTTCTTATAAACATATTTGTGAAAATTATATATTAAATATTCGAAAGTTTACTCTGTTCTGCAAGATAAATAAATAAAAAAAATTTAAAGTAGTTTTATTATATAATAATATAAATTATCAAATATTTGTGTATTAATAAATAATAATTTAGTATCTATTAAATTGTAACTATTTGACAGTGCTTTTTCAGTGATTAAAAAAAAAAATATCGAAAACAGCCGATATGAATTTGTCAATATAAAATGTTTAAATTAGGATCCTATTCAGCCTGTACTGATTATGGCCAAACAAAAAACAGTATAAATCGCAACCCATAATGTAAAGTCTGCCTTGGAGCAAAAGCATTTTTAGCTTTTTCTGGGCCTTCTCAGTTACGTAAATATTGTAATTGGCATAATGCAATAAGGTAGCCCATGTTGTGGAAAATCACTTGGGCTCTGGGACATGTGCTACTGCTTTAAAATCCATTTCAAAAGTTACCCTTTAAATAAGTTGGGTTAATATTTCTCAAATCACAAAAAAATAATTCTTTTCCTGTAAAAAAAGAATTATGAAATTGATAGAATTACATGTAAATGTTATCAACTTACCGTTTATATGCTTAGAATGTGTTAATTAAATTATATCCACTTCAAAAACCAGGGTTTGAGTAGGCTGATTTAGAACTCTTCAAATCGAAGACAAATATTTTCCTGAAAAAAAAATATGAAATCGACAGAGAACATATATTATAAACGTTATTACCTTACCGTCCATATGCTCTAATATGTTAAATAATTAAATTGCTCTCAGTTTCAAAATTATGCTTTAATAATTTCAATGACCGCTGTGTTATTCTTGTGGACATTAATGACAGTTGACAATATGGTTCTTCTGTTGGCATCTTGTGCTATGACCTTCCTCTACCTGTGACGTTTTCACTAAATACGCTTATTCCCACAACGGTAAGCTCAATTCTGTTAAATAAACGATAATCAAAATAATAATAATATTAAAGGTAGGAAGCAAATTCATAACGACAACGATCTAACACCATAGGGAGTTCTATTCGTAAACTCATAAATATTAGTGAGAATGCAGGTACACAAAAACTTAAGATAATTCGAGACATCTAACAAAAATAAAATTGACAGCAAAACAAAAAAAAAACATAAAAATAACGAATCTATTAACGACATATCAATCGTTACGGCAATAAACCAACAAAACATTTAAAATTGTCTGCATTTCCTCAAAAAAAAAATTACGGCAGTTAACGTGTTGAAAGTTCCTGTTTAAAATCCATAACTTACTAAAATCAAAGAGTACAAAATATAACTATAAAATAGAAGTCACTCGCTGCATTTACAAAGGAAATCGCGCTTCAAATGCGGGCCGACAAGTCGGCGTTTTTTCAAAGAGTACAGAGCTAATTGGGCTATACCGGGTTTAAGCGGTAAGACGCGGCGCGATGATAGTGGAATGTAACGGCCAATTCACAGCGGAATCTAACGTAGCGGAGCAAACGAGCCTTACGCGTTGAACTACACCGGTATACTGCCGATCGAGAAAGGACTGTGAAGGACAGGCGGCTGATCGCGTTAGAAGGCGAGTGACTCCTCTTTTATAGTTATATTTTGTACTCTTTGCTAAAATTCATCATCAATGCAAAAACAAACAACCAACAAAAAATTCGATAAAATATTCGACGAGAATCGCATAAATTCAAAATTTATTTAAGTAAAAACTATCAATAGACGTGGAATATATTTTTTTTATTAAAAATCTGATGTGTCCAACACATGACTTTCCTATCTAGTCATTATAGGCTTTTTCCGGTTATTTTGTACAACCTATTGCAACACCTCTATAAACTAAATATACAGGGTGTCCTGAAATTAGACGGTCATATTTTAACAGCGTAATCTACGTCCTAAAATAGGAGTAAAAGTTCATATAAACATAGGTCCGAAAACGTTTCTTTTCCGAGATAAAAGTGAAGTTCTGATGACACTCTTTTGTAAATATTATCTAAACGTTTAAAGATAACTAAGTGAAATTTGGTACAAATGCTAAGCTTTTTACGCTCTATTTAATGGAGCGAACCCCAGTTTTGATCATCTTCATAGGTGGATAAATTAGGGGGGCTTAGGGTAAAAGTTTTTTTTGTTGACAGTTTTTAACATTTTTGACTACAAAATTTGGAACACCAATGTTTTCTTTATAATAAAGTTACTATTGTTGCATCTCGCTAAGATGCACCATTTTCAAAAGAAAAGCATTTAAAAATTTCATGATAAGTTGATGTTATCTTATTATAAAGTGTAAACAATAATTAGTAGGCCTGCGAAATCAAAAATTTTATTATTTTTTTTATTTTGGAAAACCGGTGACTAAAGAAATTTTAGAAAATATTTACAAAAATGTGCCATCAGGACTTCACTTGTAACACCCTGTATCTAAAAAACGAAAAGTTTTCGGACCTATGTTTATATGATCTTTTATTTCTATTTTGGGATGTAGATTACGCTGTTAAAATATGACCGTCTAATTTCGGGACACCCTGTGCATTTTCCACATACATCTACTTTGAAACATTTTTCCATAGATATTCATTGAAAACGAAAATACTGAAAAATTTAAATTTAGCACTTTTCCTATAATTTTTCCATTACGGTCCATTTAAGAAAAATCATGTGTAAACAAAAATTATAGAGATCGATATCGCAAACAATTTTTAGTTCAACAATTTTCTTAAAAATCAGAATTTTGCACATTTTGTCAAATTTTTCGAATACGGACCATTTCAGGAAAATTTGGCATGAAACAAAAATTATAGATAATAATATTAGCAGTAACTTTTATTTGAAGAATTTTCTTCAAACATAAATAACAGATATATTCCATAAAATATAAAAACGGCCTCCCATAAAGTACCCCCCCAGATGTTCCGACTTTGTCTAAAATCTAATTATTTTACATCAGGCCGAAATAAAATTTATGTTTAAAATTTAATGTTTTTTTCTTTATCCGTTTTTGAGTTTTCTTCAAAATTCGAAATTTACACATTTTCTCAAATATCCCGAATACGGTCCATTTTAGAGAAATTATGTATATGATAAAAATTATAGAGAATTATATTACAAACAACTTTTATTTGAACAATTTTTATAAAAAAATATTTTTTTATATTTTGTCAAATTTCTCGAATACGTACCAGTTTAGGAAAATTTTGTATAGAACAAAAATTATAGACAATAATATTAGAAGTAACTTTTATTTGAAGAATTTTCTTGTCCAAACGTAAATAACAGATATATTCCATAAAATATAAAAATTACCACCTATAAAGTACACCCCAGATGTTCCGATTCTGCCTAAAATCTAATCAGTTTATTGGACGCCGGAATAAAGCTTAAGTTTAAAATTTGGTGTTTTTCTTTGTATCGGTTCATGAGTTAGACATCATCGCGAACATAGTCAAAACGGATTCAGGGGACCTCAAAACGTAAAAATCCGTCGAAAACTCAAGTCGAAAAAATCATGATTCCTATACTTTCCTTATATCTGTATACAGATAGGAAAGTAAAAATAGAATGGATAGATAACGTAATACATTTTCATTCTATATTTATATAAATTGGTTTGTCCCTGTACGGAGGGGGGGGGGCGGCTAAAACCCCCACAGACAAGCCGCCACTGATGTATTTTAAAAAGGTTTAATACTCCTGATTAATTCCATTACTGATTTGTTTATCTTTCGTCTTTAAATATTATTTATCTAATAAAATACTCGTATTTATTTTTTCAGGAAATATAGCACTACATATATTTTCTGAAGAAGCCAGAGCTTTGTATGATCTAGAAACACTTTGGTCTGTAGGAGCTCAATATGATGGGGAATATAATAAACCAGAACCTGTATCGGATATGTTAAAAAAGCATTCGGTTTATTTAAATGGATTAGAACCAGCTTCTTAAAATGTATGTACTTTTGTGGTGTAAATACTTTTATAGATAAATAAAGAAGTGTTCAATAATTTGTATTTATTCAATTTACCAGCCTGTTTTTAATTAATGCATTGAAAATCATTTTATAGAAAAGTAAGCTACAGGGTTGTAGTACTTAGTCTTTTGAAATATTTATATGCTTAAATAATAATAATAATTAATAATAAAAATAATATATGCTTATTTGCAAAACAGTACAGACATTGATCAATAAATATAACGTTACAATTTACACAAACAACACAAAAGACGAGCTTATTAGAGCCACTATTGGCTAAGCATGGGCATTTATAGTTTATTAAATAATGGTTTTTGTATTTATTCTAATTAGTGTTTAGTACCTTTTATACAATACACTGCGGAAGTAAGGATAACAACGCTAGAGGCAAGTCACTTTATGATAATTAAAATCTTTGTATTTTAAATAAAGTTACCACGTCAACATTTTTAAACTCTCGCAGTCAAACACTAATAGATATCACTTTATCCACAACTGGTATCTATAAATCAATCTAAGTGTCTGACGACATTTAGACCACCGCTGGTTAACATTCAAAATAAACTTGATATTGCCGACCTCCACGTTATCTTGAAACCTTAGGAAGACGGACAGGGCAACCTATATGCTCACCTTCTCTAAGAGGCTTTGAAAGAGGTGAAGGTCGAAACACCAAGCAATAGGCGAAAAAAAGCTTAGACTCCAGCGCCTCTACCGGTCACTTTTTCGTCCTCCGCTGGGCCATTTATAGTTTGTTTACATTTGTTTTCATATGGCATGCCATAGGTTTTTCGTAAGATTATGTGTTGAATTTTTCGTTTTTAAAGTGTGTAAAGGATTTTGTTAGTTTTAGTGTTGGTTATATATGTATTAATTAAACATTTTTATAGATAGTGGCAGTGTATTTATTTAGCAAAGGTATGTTTACCTTATATTACATTAACCCATAACCTAAATACATAATACTATTTTTACTTGAAAATGTGTGAAATTAGGCTTAGTATTGTCGACTATATGAAGTATTTAGAAGGGACCAAAAATTCAAAATGTGTTTACGAAGGTGAACACGTTTTAAATGCTGGGCATCTAATATTAGCGGGTAAAACGAAATCCACAGCAACAAATACTAACCTCTATAAAAATAATTGTTTTCAGAGAAATGCAATGAACATACTCTCATGTACGGACTCACAGGCTTTCCAATTTTTAATTTTCTTATCCATTCCTCCCTCCGGTCAACAGCTTCTCGTTTCCCTAATTTTGTTTCTACCAAAACACGTTGTCCTTTTTTGGGAAATGTATGAAAACTAAGTTCTTTATTTAGTTTTACCCAAGAGGAACACATGGGAACACAACAGTGATGGTTCATTTTGATAAAATAAACAATAATTTTATCAATTAAACCTCTTTAAAACACCATATACAAACAGAAACCGTAAGATTAACCTATATTATGCTTGAATCACATGAGTAAACAAAACATTAATGGCCCACTGGAAGGTTTCAAATTAAAACTGTAGGTGGCGTATCGCTTATTTTGCCAAGCCTATAACAATGCTTTGGAAAAATACTCGAATACTATCCAAGGCACAATAAGATATCCTGCTCCTTGTGGCTGGTCCAACACGATCAGACGACTACTTCAGTGGGGTCTGGAAGCACTCACACTGCACCTGGTAGGTATATTCAGGTCCTCGTTAGCTCTGAGGTATATCCCCCAAAAATGGAGAGAGGTAAAGATAGTCTTTATACCCAAATCTGGAAGAATTGATTACACTGTCCCAAAAACATACCGACCAATTAACTTGACATCGTTTTCTAAGAAGACATTGTAAAGGCCATGCGAAAGGTACATAAGAGATGCGGTGATTACAACAATACCACTACACCCAAATCAACATACATACATACAACCCAGGCAGATCTACTGATTCAGCCTTTTACTTAGTTGCTGGCCGGATAGAAAGATCACTGGACAATAAAGAGTCCGCCTTGGGTGTTTTCATAGACGTAGAAGGTGCTTTTGATAAGACTAGCAGTAATCATAAGTATAGATCTGAATATAAGGGGCTTGGTTGCGAGGGAATGTTTCTATTACTTCTACTGTGCAATATAATCCTCGACACCCTCAGCAGCCGCCTCAATAGCGTATATGCAGATGACCTGGTCATTCGGCAAACAGGGAATTTTGAGAACATACTCTGCGAAAGAATAATGCAAGGAGCTCTCAAAATTATAGAACAGTGGTGCAAGGACCATTCACTGTCTATCAATCCCAAGAAGACAGAAATGGTCCTTTTCACAAAGAAAATGATGAAAATGGAATTAAAACCTCCAGAACTCCTAAACACATAGCTAAACTTTGCAACAGACTACCTAGATCTCACCTTTGATAACAAGTTAACATAGAATTCACTTAGAAAACAGAATCAAAAGAGCACACATTGCTTATGTATAATGCCACCTAACCGTGGGGTTTCTCATCCAAGAGTAGTCGCATGGACTTACACGGCCTTCAAATCTGTAGGCTAGCTCACGAGCTAGGAGGTGCCTATCGACTTAGGAGGATGTAAAATGGGCCTAGTGAGGCCTAACTGCCGTTGGTTAACCTACCCTCTACACACGTTACAGATACAATCCACTTATTCATTAAAATTTAAATAGAATGCAAAAAATAATCATTTAAAAATGTTTTAATGCAATACTAGTGTAAACTAATAACTTTGTAATAAATTGTTATTTATCTTATTATACAGGGTAGCGAATAAGTACAAAGGCGTAGAAACGCCACATACATTTTTTTTACAAATCACGACTTGTATCTCGGAATTCCGACTTGTAACTCATAATTTCGAGTTGTTACAAGTCGGAATTCCAATTAAGACTGAAATCACAATTGTGACTCTTAATATTGAATAAAGATCTCGATTACAATTTGTCAGCGGAAAAGAAAACAATAACTAGTTATTGAAAAAATGTATAAAATAATGTGATTTAAAAACAATAGAATCCTTCCTCAAATTTGGTACAGGTTCTGATCTTGCAAATCGAAATATCAAAATATATTTTAATGAATTTAAGGGGTTTGTAAGAGTATCTGTGGCACATACTTATTGCTTCAAACTTTTACAAATTCCCCTAAGTTATGAAAATTTCATGACATTTAGAAATGAGTTCAATAATATACTCACATCCAATATACAGTATATAACAGCCAAATTCAATAAATTCAGTTGGCCAATTACTATGCATATTTATAAAAAAATCCCAACACGTCAATTTTAGCTATGCCCGTTCCACCAACGGCCTTATACCTCTAGAGGCAGGTGCGAGCGAAACGAGTGCTCCCTTTTTACACCTACACCATAAGAACCAACTATGCGCATCTCACCAACGGTACCACTAGATGAAAGAACAAACGCGCCCTTTTCACACCTTTACTGAAAGAATCAGCTACGCTTGTCCCTAGAGGAAGGAGCGAACACGCCCTTTTTACACCTATATCATAAGAGTCGGTTACGCTCGTCCCACCAAAACGGCCTTACCACTAGATGAAAAAGCAAGCGCGCCCTGCCGACGTTTCGAAATTTGCGCACGCGAATTTCAAAGTTATTGAACACAGGCTATATATTCGAAAATAATATTAAAATATAGTTTTAATGCTGCCTACAGTTCTGTATCTCTACTAGTGCCAGAAATATTGGACTTTTTTCATACTAATGGATCACCCTGTATACAGGGTTCAGAGTGAAATGTACATCTCTGTATCGTGTGGAGGGTGGGTTACCCCCTACGGCACTTAGGCTTGATTAAGCCCATTGTGCATCCTAAGATGATAGGCACCTCCTAGCTCGTGAGCCAGCCTACAGATTTAATGCAGTTGACAACGTCGCGAAGAGGTGCTCTTATATCGGCCGGTGTTAGCCGATACTCGCTGAACACAAATCTTCTAATAAATGAGAGCGTCGAGCAATCGTAAAGGATATGCTCTATGGTCTCATCTTCTTGTTTGCACCCTCTGCAGAGTACGGATTCTGACAGCCCCATGATATGGAGAAGCTGCCGTACTTGGCAATGGCCTGTGACTAGGCGCAGATTCTGTCTAGTCATAGTCAAGTATTTGTTTGCTGCAGTGTTTTTAGGATAACTTAAGAGCTCCCTGGCAACTCTACAGTTTCTTGTTTCATCCCATCTTTCCTTGAATTTCACAAGGGAATGTTCTTTAATTAGGTCTCTTACTATACCGATTTTGTCAAGCCAATAGAATGATCAGGTCCAAAAAGTATTTGATTGGCTTCTTTCTTGGCTAGTGAATCAGCAAGACGGTTACCTTTCGATGTGGCGTGACCTTTGATCCATCTTAAGGTGACCACATTGTTGATGAATACTTCAGCAAAAGCTTCGTGACATTCTAATACTAACCCTGAGTAAAATCGTAGTCTGTTCAGGGTGAGTAGTGCTTATCTGCTATCTGTATAGATGAGTACCCAGACAGCACACCAAATCCTTTGGATATCTACTGAACATCCCAATATCCACTGAATGTCCAGTCCATGGTAGATATCTATTTTATATCCATGAAATGTAATTTATAGACATGCAAATGTCCATAAATAATAGTAATTATATAGCAAATTATTAAAAAATTACGCCATTGTGCTTGCCATTGTGGCTAATAGTACCGTTCAGATATTTAAAATTATTTTTTTAAGGTGTATTCAATATCCCATGAACATCCAAATATATCAAAGTCTAGGCGCGAACGCAAACCATCGTGGATATCCACTAGATGTTATTTGATTCTGCTTACTAAATATAGATGGCGATCCCACTATCGCATCTACTCATGCTCGACCCGCCGTAATTGAGTTCGATCGAAATGTGTGTGTCCTAATAATCACTCCATTAGAGACTGGAGTCGAGAATTTTCATTTATTGCTGAAGAGTCCTAATAAGGATGACTTTCTCCTTAGTGGACAGAGTCACAGAGTGTTGAAAATATTTTTTATATCTGCTATTTTCTTTCGACGT